ATGACAACGGCTTTGTCAGCTTATGAACTTTATATGAAGGGAAAAGAATCAAAAATGTTTAATTCCATGGCACCATTTCAAAATTGCATCCGACAACTAACGAGTATTTTTCATTTAGTATAAGGTGAGTGCTTCATATTTAAAATTGCAGGAATTTATTAAATAAATTTTGCAAACATTTTTGAAGCGCGTAAATGCAATTATGCCCCTGTTGTGGCTCTCAAATTCTCATAGTAGTGGCAATTTTGCAATTGTCTTTACGTAACTGGTATCCTCAAAATACAAAATAAAAAATAAAAAAAAAACCCAGAGCTATTTAAAACTGTTGAAAGCTTCACAATTTTATTGCATGATCCATATTTAACAGAAAGGAGCGAAGTCACATCAAAGCAGATGCGAGAAAAATAAGATTCAGGTATTCCTTAATTCATCAAACGCCGCAATGCAATGGCAAAATTCAGCACCTCCAATTTTTGGCAGGTAAAAATATGCGGTTAGATGAGCTCAAAGCCATCTCTAAGTTAGTTAATTTAGTCCATGATATGATTATGCCTATCATAAAGCTAATGTTTATTTATGTTACGAACTATTCTCTATTTGTTATGTAATTGACAGCCGCATAACCATTGTTAAAATAGAAAATGTTAAATGTGTTAAAACAAAATCGTGAAAATGACTTTTGTACTTTGCAGATTTTTTACGCTTCAGTGATACGAAGTGATCACGCTTTAAAATCGGATAGGTTTTGAACGATAGTGGAGAGTGATGAGGCGTGAACCGTTTTTAAATGCCAAGAACATGATGCATTGACGATGAAGGCAAACAACCGAAATATTATAATTTTAAAATTGCTAAGTACCCATTTTCTTCACTATGCCTCTCTGTGAAATCAGCATTAAAGCCGTTTATTAAGAAAAAAGTTTGTTTAATTTTTACAATTATGCCTGTCAGTGAAATGTAAATAGCTCCGAAAACTCTTTTTTGAGTCTTGAAATGTCTGCGAGCAACCTGAAGTTTGACTGATTTGATAAAAAATTTGGTTGATCAATATTATCGTTTTCATTATTCTAATCGAAGTAAATTTAACCATAGGTAATTAAAAATACGGAAATCTTAAACTGTGTGGGTTTCAACAAATTAGATAGTTATTTTACCGTTTTAAGCCTTTCACATATGGAGAGGCTGATATTGATAGGGGGTCAATTTATCAATTTTTTCTCAGTGGTTGTGGCGAAGATGGGCGCAAAATTGTCAAAAGGATCCGTATATAGAAACGAAAAACCAATAATAAATCATACATTGTCTTTTCAGTGCTTTTTATTAAATCTTATTTGTTGTCAACATAATTATATTCGTTTATCAGCTGTTTTTGCTCTATGGCCTGAAAATTCACTGGCTAATCTTCGAATTTCAATATCAATACCTCTCTGGCTGAAAGATACTCCAGCTTTGGCATCAAAATGATTGTAAAGTTATTACAAGTCGATCGTTCATTTCCTAAAAATTAAGTTTTCCCCGAAAAACCCTGTTTCTATGAGGAAATCGATTTTCCAGAAACTCCCGATATAATGGAGCAACTTTGACATCATTTTCGGACTCAGCGTTGAAAAACACCTAAAAAACATCCGTCACATATTGAGGTTTATTTCCTGAAAATTGAGTTTTCCCCGGAAAACCCTCTTTTTATATAAGAAAATCAATTTTTCGGAAAATCCTGATGGAATAGGGGAAAATGGATAGCATTTTCGGACTCAGCTTAAAAAAGTACATGTGTCGAGCTTTATTTTCGGATGCAGACGTACACTGAAAAAAACACTCCGGCCGTGGAAGCCGTACTTACGGGCTATATAGAGATAGATACAAATTTTTAGGAGCAGCCCGAGACGATGATAACAGTGGAACAGTGATCCAGATTGGAAAGAATCTGTTGGTTGAAAATTGTTATCCACCCAATTTGATAGC